TCCATCACTGGCCAGCTACAGGAGGACGCCAAGTGGCACTTCGGCGCCCACTGTGTTTAAAAGCAGTGCTACTAAGAAACAACCGGTGTTCCGCACACAGTTGCAGCAGACGCTCACCGTTGTCAGTCCGTTCGGAGTTAAGCCCATAATTACCACCTAGCTGGGCTTCTGAAGAGCTCAGACGCCCTACTTGTGCGTTTATATCCCCTGCAAGTATTATAATATCTGAACTAGTAGCTCTGCGTAATAGCGCGTTCAGTTCGTGATAGTATGTGTCCTTGACAGCAATTGTACTGCAGTCTGTGGGGGCATAAGCGGAACTCACAAACAAACAACGCTTTATACTACTTCGTGAATCAACCTTGGTTGACGTCGTCAAACGGGCTGCACATAAACGGCTGTTCACTGGAATCCAATCAACTAACGATGACTCAGCCTTGAAGCTTAGAATGATACCTACCCCAGCTTGACCCGTGAGTACTGCATCGGCGTCTCATGCGTGCAACCAATAACGAGAGGACAAGCCGGGTGCATTTAATTTAACAACCCCGTTAGAGTCATTGACCCTAGTTTCGGACACACAACACACATCAATACCCAGTGTGTCCAAGGTGCGTGCGAGTGCAGCCTGTTGACCTACGTATCTTAGAGTGCAAACGTTGAAGGTCGCTATGGAAACGGGACATGGTGGCCTTATAAGGGACTGTTGCCGATAGGCGTCCGGTGCGTATCGCGAGAAGGTGGCTGCAGATGGTTCTACTCCAGTGGCACTTCGGTTGCTGTCAGTTAAGCTGGGAATTATAGATGGAAGGTTAGTAATGGGGGTCGGGATGGGAGTAAGAGAAACAGGTGGAAAAGAAAGAAGGGAGGCGCCAGCAGTAGCATGTTTTCGCTTATCCGCCCTGCTTTATGCAGCAGATAAGGCGACGCTTGATAATCTACCCGACGGCCGATGCAGGATGAAGTTCATGTTTGAAGAAAAAGTCATGTGTCGGTCGAGCAAATTCCTTCTGCTCTACTTATGAGACTGAAGATCAAGTGCCGTTTTAGTCGCAGTGGAACGAAACTGGAAAATCATATATTGTCCGTTTCAGATAGATTTCCGATACACGCGACGCTGCAACCCTCCATCCTCGAGTCGCTTCGTTGCCATGTCGAGGAAGTGAAAAGTACCGTTTGCCTTTATTTCAGAGGTGAACTTCAGTGCTTCGTGCGCCTGATTTAACTCCTTGGTAAGATCCTCGATGTTTCAAGAGAATGGTAGTATAAAGATATCATCGATGCAACGGCGGTAAAGACTAAGCTTCGGGATGACCGATTTTGACTTTTACTGTTCAAGCATAAGCATGAACTCGTCAACGAGGAACGGTCCAAGTGGGGAGGCCATAGCGACTCCATCGGGTTGTCGATATATTTCTTCTCTATGCAATGATGTGTTGGTTTTAGTAACAAGTGATTTTTGTTTAATTTAAATCCCCCGCGATTATCTCCAGTTCCTGTGATGGCACCGATGTGAAAGCAAACGCCGATGAGACAATAGCGCTATCTCTAGCTGTCGCTTTCTGGGGATTGTATATGCAACCGAGAAGTGTCGTAGTAGAGGCTTCAATGACTGATAGCTACACCGATCCAGGCTCATAGTTTACCTTTGGGTCATCAAGTATTTCCGCTGTGAAGTTTCGATGAAGACAAACGATATACATCCGTCTCGCTTCTTTGTGCTGCGGTCTTTCCGAAAGCGGTGGTGGTTGGGAATATTTAAAGTAGAATCCAACGTATCAGAGAAGCGCCATGTTTCAATGACGCAGAGTACATACGGGGCTCTTAAGTGAGTAAGCACACTTAGAAAATGCAAACTTGTTTGTGGATCTTGCATTAATTAGGGTGAGTGAAAATGCGTTGTGTCTAAAAGAGTTTTCTGTGAGCACCTAAGAGAATTGGGAAGCAAGAACTGACAGGCACATACGGCCGGTGGGATGCCTTTTGGATGCGATCGGTGACCGACTTCGAACTCGCTTGCTCTCATTGTGTAAGGATGGCACTACTGCACTCGAACTCAGACCATTGATGGCCAATCACTACATCCCACACTTTCTGTGAAGGACCTAGGTGTACTCTTGTGCTGCGATTTTAAGTCGGTTGACAACATCAACAGACTATATCGTAACGGACTGCGCTCGCCTTTTGCGATCAAACTCAGCTTCTTTTCTTGGTCTGAAAACTGGCCACTCGTCTCTTTTCTTCCATTATAAGACCAGCCTTAGAGTACGGCCCACCTAACTACTGCCGAATCACCCGAGATGAGACACAGTAAATCGAAAGGGGCCAACACGTCGCTACCAGGCACAGTCCGAGTTTATAAAGATTAACGTACCAAGACCGGTGCGAGAATCTAGGACTCTGCACCATGTGGTGTCATCCGGGTGCGAGTTTGTCTCATCGTGACCTTCCCCACATTACATTTCGGTGACTTCTCCGTCTTGAGGCCGCTCCTTCACTTGCAAACGTCATCTAGCACAAGTGGACATCTGTACAAGCTTGCAATGCCGGATACGAAACGATTGCCGCACCTTATGTGCTTCGAACGGAGAGTGGTAAATGTTTGGAGAAGCCGTGGAGGCCAAATCTGGGCAGCAGTTCAAAATGTTGTTGGATTTGCATTCACTGCCATTCGATTCAGCAGATGATTGCACACTAGCAATTACATCTTACATATGTGTGCCTAGTGAGACTCTAAGTCAGTCATTTGCAAATGCTACAGAAGAACTTAAGAACGATTAGATTACCACCGATGGCAGATACCTTTTATAACATTTTTGATTATACTCCGATAAAGTTTTACCGATTTAAATTTCGACCTGCTGTCGTAAAACGGTATTAAGCATTTCGAATGCGGCCTAGGAGCGCTAGTACAAGATGATCTCGGCCGTTCACCTGAGGCCGAGAAAGCATCCAAAAAGTGTGCCTTCGGCCGATTTAACCCCCCAAACTCCTGTCAGTTGTACGACAATTATATATGACCGCATTCGGAAAGCCCCATCCATGACTGGCAGCCCTGGCACAAGTATGACTTTGTCGCACTTGAAATACTGCCAAGCATGTAAGGTGTTTGTTTCATCTCCTGTGCCGATTAAGGCTGAGGAACATCGGGGTCTACAGTGCACACTATCGACGTCTGCATGGTGATTTGACAATGACATACAAGATCCTGGGGAATTCCAAGCATGCTTGCCCTCAACTTCCGAAACTGAGACACAATATCACACTGAGTGGTCATCAGCTAAAGTTGGCCACAAAGTATCTCCAGTTGGATTGTCGCCAGAATTTCTTTTCACTTCGTATGCCAACCGTGGAACGCCCTCCCCACTTACGTGGTTTCTTTCCTCAAACTAACGGTATTCAAAAGATGTATTGATGATAACTCATACCTTTAGACAATGCTATATAGCCCATTATGATTTGGCGTGGTCGTAACGCCACCCACCAACGTGATCCGTTTCACTTCTTACGCCTCACTACCTAAACGCTGCTACTGCAGAATATCGTTATCATGTAATCAAACTGGATTTACGTACTACATCGATCCAAGGAAGCAGCACGCGAATGAGTGTTTTTGGTTTTATATTTTCTTCAACCATAATTGCTCGCCATATTGCTTCGTGTGCGCACATTCAATTCCCATTTCACACCGGTGGATTTAAATCAGTGGACGCTTACGCTGACGGTTCACACACCTTTTGACTTTTTTCCGTTTTCGCCCCAACCATCCTACGAAACTTGTCCAGTGTCTGCTTTTTTACCCGTGGTGGATCGTCGCTCATCGTGTGAAGATCCATCGGCTTACTGATGGGGTTGCCATTGGCGTGCCCACTTCGACGTTTATTTTCTCTCATATGTTGGGCAGTGCTCCAATGGGAATTCTAACACTGTAGTGCGGCCTGCGGTTGGCTCGTTCCAAGGCGAATGTGCACCGGGTTTAGATAAAGCAAGCGTCGTGTAAGGTTAACATAGCGACAGTCATTCGTGCGGATATAAAGTGCAGCAAATGTGAGAGGTTTAATAAGCTAACGACATTTTGTACTTACTGGTCGGTAAGCAATTGAGGTTGGCTGGACGTCAATTCAAGTCAAGCTAAGCTTTATACACCCATGCGGGAGAATTTCCAGCAATTTTCACTAACACTGCGGATATACTACAACATAGTGTCAGCGGAGAACGATGCAGCGTGACAAGGAAGACATAAAGGCGCATTTGCACTCAAGCAAACTGTTTCTCATTGGTGCAACATTGCTTTTGGGTGGACTAACAAGCGAGACAGATGTGACAAGATGGAGTTGGGTTACGACGAGGTGTGAGAAAATGAAACTGAATTCCGGATACGTGGAAGAAATAAATACTGTGCTGGCTATAACTGTGTACAGTGCGTGGGCGTGGTCGTTTAGAATCCCAGATGAATTTTTCATTCCTGCCTCAAAATGCTTGCTAGCACTTGTCTGAATAATATTTGCTGATTTGGGACTGGTCCTATCGAACGGTACGCCTTTGGTCTGTGTGCGCATAAACAGGACGCTTTTTGATGTTTTGCTGAACGAAGTTGAAAAGGCAAATGTGTCATTTAAGGAATCTTTTGACTGCACTATATATGCAACTGGCTCGGATATTTTGCGGGTATTTGTTTTCTTCCTATCCGTGAAATATTTCGTTAATGGTTATTCCGAATGCACAACAGACGGTTTTTACGTTCCACGTCTAATTGCACCACGGTAGGACAAAGCATTTCTTGTTGCTCTTTTCTTATGATTCATATTGTTTTCCTATTCAGCCATGATTCCGATGGCACAATATCTGTACCACAGATTGTGTATAATATATATATATATAGGACGACCATCCTAATGGAGTGAGCAACAACGTTCACTCTTGTGCTTGTAGAAATGCCACTGTTTCATTCCTGCTGAAAGCGCTAAGCTGGGCGTCTTCCAATTTCTTTTCTTCCATAGAAATCATGGTGACGGTCCCTTCTACTATGCAGTCGCAATTGTCAAGAAAACCAATCCAAGCCTGCTGGTATCAAACTGGCGATATCGTTTCACTTGTCACAGCGGTGTCGGTAAAGCAACCGGTTGGATTGTTCCTTTGAATATCGCAATGGATACAAGGCAATTCATTGTGCTAGACGGACACCTCATTTACGCTTTTGGTAAGTACGTTCTCCTCCGCAGTTACACTTGATCAATGATGGTGTGATTTCTTTGTCACTACAAGGGCACAACGCCTCTTCACCTATGAGCCGCTTAATTACGTATACTCCCTTTAGGATCTGGGATGCTACATATCAGACTTACAACTATCTTACTTTATGATGGACTTCTTTGTTCGCAAAACCATTGAAAGACAGGCTGTCTTCGGTGACTCGATCAATGCTTGTTTATCATCATCATCATCATCATTACACGTTAGCTGGAGGTGGAAAACATCTCAGCTATTGTGCCGCAATACAAAAGGCAAGAAAAGAAAAAACAAACAAACAGTGGCACGCCCGCTGAGTCCCCAGTAACGGATGGACATCGTTCCGGAGAGCTAACAGCTGGCTGCCGTAAAAGAAAGTCATATTATGCCTAACGATTGAGATCGTGATTGGAGGGGGATGCTAAACAGGAGGGGGATGGACAAAGGAACTCACAACACAAACGCCATTGGGGCCGGCTCCAAGCCATATCAGCAAGTGTGTCCAACCAAACGTGTTCACCGTCCTTAGGACCCCAGCCATGCAGTCGGGATGCACCAACCGACGCCAACTTCGAAGTGAGGGTTTTCATTTCTCTCGACCAAGTCATCACTTGGCCTCCCCTCCTCCTCTTCCAACCGCACCCACAACGCGCAAACAATGCACGTCGTGGGAGTCGGTGTGCTGGCATGCGCAACACGTGGCCCAACCATCGGAGCCTGGTGCGTGATATAATCGTGCTGAGCGGTTCACTCGCTCTTCCTGCACCAAATACGCGACGCCGAACACGCTCATTGCTCACGCGGTGCTTCCACCAAACATGAGCTAAGCTGCGAAGGCAGCGATGATCGAACGTGACGAGTCTCTTCATGTCTGTCGACCTGATGGGCCAGGTTTCACAGCCATATAGGAGAGTCGAACGGACGGCTGCGTTGTAAACTCTGCCCTTGAGGGCGAGAGTAATGTCGCGTCTGCGCCACAGGTGGCGGAGATTGGCAAAAGCACCTCGAGCTTTTGCTATACGGTTCGTAACCTCATCTTCAATCCCACGGGTGCTAATATAGCTGCCCAGGTACATGAATTCCTGAACGACTTCTAGCAGATCACCAGCAAGCGTTAGCGCAGGGTTGGGTCCCTGCCAATCTTGGAGAAGTACTTTGCATTTTGATGGAGCAAAGCATAGCCCAAAACGACTGACAGCCAGTGCTAATCGGTTCAGTGCTGTTTGGCATGTTTGGGAGCTGTCACAGATTAGGGCAATATCGTCTGCATACTCCAAGTCAAGAAGTCGCTCACCAGGGAGTAGCTCCACACCTTCTAGGTCGTGTCCAGCGAACGTTGTTTCCATGACTTCATCAATAGCGAAGTTGAAGAGGAAAGGTGACAGCGGGCATCCTTGTCTCACACCACTGATGATACTGAAGGGTGGCGAGAGTTTGCCATAAACCCTCACCCTGCCCGAACTATGTGCGTACAGCGCTTTGATAATGTTTACATATTTATCGGGCACACCTTTCCTCAACAGACAGTCCCAAAGGGCACATCGATCGACTGAGTCGAAGGCACCTTTTATGTCAAGAAACACGACAACGGTGGGTCGCCAATAAACATGGCGGTGCTCCAACACTTGACGCAATGTGAAGATGTGGTCAATGCAGCCCCGAGCTCGACGAAATCCGGCTTGCTCTTCACGAATTTGGCTTTCACGAGTGCCAGTCAGTCTGTGGAGAATAAGAGAGGCAAGCAATTTAGAGGCAATCGAAATCAGACTGATCCCTCTATGATTGCCACATTCCAAACGGGAGCCTCCTTTGAAAATTGGGACAATGACGGAGCGGTTCCAGTCTGTCGGGACTGTCTCCTGCTCCCAAAGTTTTACTAGCAACTCGTGTAGATCATCTATTAGAGCAGGTCCACCGAACTTGAAGAGGGCTGGAGGGATAGTATCTGCTCCTGCGGCCTTATGCAATTTCAACAGCCTGATCTCACGTTCGACTTCTGCACGTGAGGGCGGATCCAAGGAGACGGCCCAAGGAGAAGGGCGCTCAATGCCCGAAGAAAGTGATAACTCAAGTTGGTTAAATTGCATAGCAAAGTGTTCAGCCCAACGCTCCAAACGCTTTGACAAGCTGTGGATCGGATGCCCACTCTCGTCGCGTATGGTCTCGCTAACACCAGGTCTCCTGCTGCCTGTTGCCCGTATCAGACGGTATAACTTACGATGATTACCAATGGCAGCGGCTGTTTCCATCTCAGAGGCACGATGAGACCACCAGGTTTCGCGGTCCTTCTTTGGGCTAGCACGTAGTTTCGCCCTGAGGTTTTTGCGAGATTCAGTGTTTATCTTTACTCGTGCTCCTGTGGTGCACGATACGTGGGTCGTACCACGAGGCGCCTATCTCATAGGATCCGCAAACGCATCCCAAAGTGGTTTTACAAAGGCAAAGCGAGGTCCAGTCACAGTTCCATCTTGTCTCACCTTCTAGAGTGCAGTCACGCAGGGACGGAAAACAATTTTAGAGTCGTCTATTCCGTTCCTGAACGTTTCACGCGCATATTCCTGAAGCATCTTCTGTCTACTGGAAAGCTATCTACATCCACCACCTCAAGCCAGAATTGTGCGTACAAAAACAGTTTGTACGTCCTTTACTTCTACCGTGGCTTACACCTTCGGCTGTGATTTCCCTTGTACATACTTGCGACTTTCAATGACCCCGTGATTTATTGATTTTTGCCTGTTAAATTAAATATTCTATCCAATACGCAGCCCAATCCGGCCTATTTAGCACTTTCTCGTCATCATGTAATGTTTGAGTCTGATGAGAATTACCGAAAAGAATTCTTTACTCAGATTCTAGCTCCCTTGATTCATTCTAATAAATGAGAATTTTTGGATTGCTGAGGATCAGTATTCCCCGTGATTCAGTCAGACTTCTTCTCATTTGGGTGGGAAATCGTTGGATGACACCAGCGACACATCTACTCTGTAATCCACACCCTGAGAATCAACCGAAATCCAGCTCTGATGTTAGAGGTGTTATGTCTGCTCATGGGACCAGTTCCCTCTAAACATGTGACTGCGCATATCCTTTATGCGGCTGATTTCAACAATTATCAGCTAATGCCAATGGGAGCACCCCTGTCGTTTGTGATCACACCTCCGACTCCTTTGCTCAGTTGTCCTTTTACTTTCTTCCCTCAATTTGTGCCAATAAAGTGGAGTGATTTATACTGCGCAGTACCAGTCCGTAGTGATAAATTTGATTAAACACATATACATGGGAAGATGTGTTCCCCTACCGGCGGGGCGCACCTGCTCATAGGTGCTAGGGCGTCAGGGAAGACACCCGTGGCTGCGTGTTTGCGTGCATTTGTCAGTTTGAGGTCAGCTTACAAATAGAATGCCGTGAGTGAATTCACGCCACCAGACGAAGTTTTACTATCGCATGTCGGACTGCCAAAGAACGTTCTGGAATCTGTGGTGTCATTCCGGTAGATTTCACAGAGGCACATTGCGTACTAGACTCATATAACCCTGATCATACCGTTTGTCATCGAAACTAAATCTGTCGTGTCACTCGGTTGTCATACTCAACTATGTATGTAATAACCGTTCTAGTTATTTCGACTTTCCCTATCGGAACGGACGAAACACTTTTCGCCAGTAGTGCCACACATGCAGAGTGTCCAATCGAAGTTGAATTGGTAAGAGCCTACAAGATTTTGCCGTCAAACGAGCGTGCACATTAGCTGAGACGACACGCAAACCTGCCACTACCACACCCGGCAAAGAAATGCTTGCTAACTCTGCTAAAGACAAAGTGTACTCCACATTTTAATAGTTATACCCAATAGCAGACTAGCGTAATGCATGAACAATCGAAGGAAATGAATTTTAGTAAGATACATGAGTTACCGTGTAATGATAGTGTTATTGAGGATAACTCCTTTGTGGTCAGGGCGGCATGAGACGGTAGATACAGAGCAATGGAACAATGGTTTCAAACGGGTAAAATATCTAATGCATAACCGGTCCTGTAGGATGGATGTGGCGAGACTTCAATATATAAAAAAATTGGTAAATTATGCCTATAGCAGACTTTATCAAAAGACAGATGCGAAGAAATTTCTTTTCGACAATTCTCGTCAGGCAATTACGATTATGAAATACCTAATCGGTGGGATAATATGCTATCGCTAGCGTAGCATAGTTATACCGTGTCGAGTTTGTCATGTGCCGCGGTCAGCGCAAATTTTGAACAAACAACCATAGATCGATGAGCCAACATTCAGCCGCCAGATATATGACCATGGGAGAATCGCACTTTGCACAAGCATTTTCTGCTTGCATACTTCCGGCTGCAGCTTGTTGATCGCAATGGCTTCCGCAGTGGTCAACAAACGCTTTCTGCGTCATTTCGGCGATATTTCGGCGCAATGTAAAGTGCTTCAATGCAGTCCTTAGTTTGGATATGATGTCCACTATTGATCAGATGTTCCAAAATAACTAGTAAACTCACTGTATTATAATACAAACTGTAAACCCAAGGTACATTCATAAGGTGACAGCAAATGGGATGTTGGTAAAAATCGTGTTTCCTCCTGGTATACATATACAAAAAGTGAAAAACTGGAACGAAATCTGGGACCGCCACTGAAATCGCTTACACTCACAGGTGTGTTTGCCCATGGGTAATGAGTCATGAAAGGTGGTGCAGCGAATTACTGCACAGTCATCTCGGGTTTTGAATTGTGCCAATGTGAAACACATGACAGGTGCCGAAAGGGCCTTCCACCTTCTGCAAATGCATATGGAAAAGAAATTCCGACGGCATTCCAAACGACTGTGCTGCTTTGTCATCTTGAGATGGTGACCTCCCAAATTGTTGTTGTGACTGAGCTCTAGCAAGTAACGGCACGTGTGGCTGGGATCTCTCAAAATCGGTTAAGTCAAAACGTGATCCCCGCCCAAT